CCACGACTACCACGACTACCACGACTACCACGACTACTACTACTACTACTACTACTACTACTACGACTACTACTACGACTACTACTACGACTACGACTACGACTACTACTACTACTACTACTACTACTAGTTGGATGGCTTGGATGCTTCGGATATGTTGGGAAGTGTAAACCTCCCTTTTTCCCTCCTCCCAGCCCATCAGGCTGCCCGGGGGGGAGGGGTACCCGCGGCACCCCACCTGTCTGTTTTCCTGCCCCCCTTCCCTCTCTCCTCCCTGCCTCCCCCCTACCTCTCCTCTTTTCCTCCCTGCTTTTTGATTTATAACGACCACTACTAGTTCTTCTTCTGCTACTACTACTGCTACCACCACCACCACCACCACCACGACCACGACGACGACAACGACTACTACTACTACTACTACGACTACTACTATTACTACTACTACTACTACTACTACTACCACTACTTGTACTCCCGGACTCGGCCTGCGCCCTTGCTTCCACGAGCCTGCGCCGATCCATGGCTTTGCTGCTCTGGCTAAGCTTCGCCGCCCTAGAAAAAAGTACCGTCTAGGTTTTTTTCTCTCACTCCTGCGGGGTCGGCGGCTTGAGCCGGAGGCTCTTAAATATTTACAGGGAACTACTTAGGGGCCTATGGGTTGGGTTTAGGCAACCGATATCTCTTTTACACCACTTGAGGCTTCTGCAGGCCTTGTTGGTGTCGAGATAGAACACCTCATTCGAAGCCGGGAATCCTTGCCGACCTGGACTTGACATGGGTAGTTCTCAAGGGTGCCGTACGATTTTGGGGACCGAAGAAGGGACCCCCCGCTGAGGTCGCTACTGCTGCTGCCTCCGAACATCCACATCCTGGGCTCTTGCTAAGGAGCGTAATTTAGGTTGCCAGAATACGGAAACCAAGTAATTCACTATAGATCCCCGGTCTGGCAGCTCAAAAACCTAGGCTCCTCAACAAGAGCCCAGGATCTTGTTTTTGGAGTCCATCGCTGCCACGTGCAGATTTCGGGCGCCCGGAATGGTACCACTGGCAGGTACCTGGACCCATGCCAGTGGATCCTGCAAGGGCACAGAGCTCTGGGTTGAGGGTTTATAGGGTTCAGAGAAGAAGAACGGGTTCCTAGCAATACCCCATCATAATATTGTGATCTTTTGAATAATTGGTGGAGACTATCAACTGGGATCTTTCTGCCTCCATAGCCACCAACCACTGGCGCTAAAACTTGTTTGCAGTTGCTACTGAGCCTCGCGCAGCCAATTTCAAACTCGCAGATTTCTGCGCCGAGACTCTATATCATTTACGATGATGTATCAATTCAGGCCGCGTTCCCACAACAGCAGTCTTCAACAATCGAATCACTTCAGGAACCCGAACCGTAAAGCCCAAACCCCGGAACCTTGCCTGGCTCAGGTCGATGTAGAACACGTCGTTCAGTACTGCGGCAGGGTTTAGGGAGTGTGATGTTTAGGACTTCGAAGACCTGTATGTCGTGGGTTTCGCGGAAGGTTGACCTTAAATATCCTATCCTGTGGAGCCCAAAAACCATTCAACCCCCAAATTCTAAACCTTGAGCCCACAACATGCTACAAGACGCCCACCCGCATTGTATGTAGAAACGGAACGACACCTAGAGATCAGAGTCTGCATTGCTCACTGAGATTGCACATGAAGTCCTGCACTCCAAAAAAAACGAAAACAACCAAATTCCAACGGTGCATGTTAGCCTGTCCAACTGCTGAGGAGCGCACCTTCTCTTCCGTTCTCTCCGCCAAAGATCCACATCCTCAGCTATGCAGGGTTTACCTGTGATCTCCATTGCAACTTTTTGGGTCTTTTTTTGGGGGTTACCTTCTGGAGCCCTAAATATGAGATTGGTTAATATTGGTTAAACCAGGAAAAGGAACTACAATTGAGACGAAAGGTAGGGGCTCGAGGCCTTCAGTGTAGCGAAGTGCTTCATTTAGGTGCTAATGTACTGGCCTCAGTAGAACAGGGTAGTTCTGGGCTGGTTGATGGTATAGTTCTAATCAGGAATCCGCATAAATTTGACTGGTATTGAGGCTTCTATATTACACCACTTGAAGAACACCAGAGGGTTCTACTCACGGCAAACGAAGTCCGCAAGAGGTCACACACACACACACACAAGAAGGGCTTTTTGCTGCCCTTCGGTGTAGCTACTGCTCTAAGCTCGAGAGCCCTCCCTTGAGGATGCAAGAGCCGCGGTGCAGGCTTGCGCTGTGCGGAAACCAGGTTGCCACATGTTTGTGGAGCGAACATCACACGGGGGGGCGGTTATTTCGCCATGTGCGGTTCCATGAAAAATTGGCGTCTGTTAGACAGCCCGTTCTGTAGGGAAACTCAAACAAGCAGGGCTTAGGAAGAGCCAGTCTCTCCGAGAACCTGGAAGGTATGGCCGCCAGTTGAGGTAGTAGATGATGAGGTGGCCGTAGGGTCCCGGTCCGGTACATGCCGAAGTCGGAAGTTGGGGTTGTAGCGGAGGTGCTCGGGCACCGGTATCCAGGTACATGTACAGTAGGAACACGGGGTCCTCGTCTGTAGACGGTTCTCGGTGAGGCTCTGTGCGCAGACGTTGCTGGTGTGCCATACCCGTCCATGTGGTGTGATGTAGATCTCACCAACATGGTGGTGGCTAAGCCTGTTGCTGGTGTGGTAGCCGAGAAAGTGTTGCTGTTGTTGAACGGCCGCTGCGAGTCGGCGGTTCTGGTCACGTACCGTGGCAAGCTCCAGCTGCGGAGGGATGAGTGTCGGCTCCCGCGGGCAAGATCGTCAGTCTGACTGCCGCGGTTTTCAAAAGTCCCCATCTCTGGGAAGGGCTGGACAAGGTACGTGGCATCGGTCTGGGCGGTGGCCTCTGCTTGGCAGGGGGCGGTTGTTCGGAACCGCAGAAGTGTCCACGATGTCCAGGGATGCCAGTATACCAACAGGAGAAACGCCAGGAGGATCGCGAACAGGTACACGCCAGTCTCGTAGTAGTCGACCTCTTTGGAGAGGTTGTAGAGAACGAGGGCCTCTGCGTCCTCAATCCGGTAGGCGCTCGTAGGCTGCCAGGAAGGCGGTGGCTGCAAGGGCAGACGCAGCAGCCTTGGGCCGCGCGAACTGGTTTGCGCTCCTCGCTCGTTCACTGGCATCCTTCTTTCGGCTGGCCTGGTAGGTCTCGTCCGCGGTGATCTTGTGCTGGTGTGTCCTCAATCGATTCAATCGATCCGCAAGGAGCTGGGTCGCAGAGTCCTTGGTGAGGCCGTCCGCATATTGGCACGCCGAGGACACCCAGCGCACACTACCACCAATCTCCTTCAGCTTGTCCCGGGTCACTAGGGCCTCCGGGCACGTTCGCTTGTCTGCGGCGCTGGAGACGTAGAGTTCCTCGCGGTGAAGGATATCGTAGAGGCACTTGGCATCAATCACGAGGAGGCTCTCGCTGGCCCATTGGAAACAGCGCTCGTCGCTGGTGATCCGGTAGTTACCCGGCCTCGGAAGTCGAAATGACCTCCAATCCAGGAGGTGGTAGCTGCTGATACCTCCATCCAGGATTGACTTGCGCGTCAGGCAGACCAAGTAGCCTCCTTGGCTCGACATGTCAGCACGGCTGGCAAAGGACGCGTCTGAGTAGGCGATGAAGACGAGGTCCTCCATGTTGTCCGCAAGCGGCGGGTAGAGGAGCTGCACATCCGAATTCGCCTTGGCAAAGCGCAGTGCTTTGTTGGCTGCCAATATGGTAGCCACCGTGGCCTTTGGGACTTCTCCTGCCAGCATCGAGGTGTGCACTTGTAGATGTGGGGAGGTCTGCGTGGCTGTCCACTGTAGTGCACCCACCAACGCCCAAAGCTGGGTCTTCTCCTTGTCGGTGGCAGGGCTGTCCGTGTCGGCTTGGCGGCTCCTCTCCAAGGCAATGGGCTTGACCTTGTTGATGTACTCCGTGTCCACACGCCAGTCCGCCGTCGGGTTGTCGAGAAACCTGGGTGCCGAGGAAGTCGAAACGCTCCTGGTTCTCCCTAAAGTCCCGAAAGGCGAACAGCCTCTGTAGGTCCTCCTTGACCTTGGCGGTTAATGGGGGGGTCCACGATCCGTAGTAGGTCATCGACATGCAGTCCAATCGCGCACCTCAACTCGGTGTCGAACAGCAGGAAGAGGCATGCGTCCAATGGGTGCTTGACGAAGCCGAGGGAAAGCAGCCTCCCGGATGCTTCCTCGAACCATGCCCGCGGTGCGTCGCAGAGCCCATACATTGGCTTCCGCAGTCTCATTAGGACCCGAGGGTCCGAGATGCCAAGAAGGGCTCGGGCATCGGCTGGGGGTCGTATCCACAACGTCCGGGAGGCTGGGTGTTCTTTCCCTTGCAAGAAAGCCGTGGTAATATCGGCGATGAAGGTATTCCAATAGCGCAGGGAGGCCAGTGACATCAGAGTGGTCCTTCCCAGCCTTGTCTTTATCAATCTCGCCTTCGCCCAGGGGCTCCCGTCTGGGTGCTTGGACCACTTCAAGATGAAGTGGGCTTTGAGCACTCGGTTCGCCGGTGCCTCGGCCTCGCTCGAAAATTCCCAAACGTGGTTCGTAAAGAACGATTCCAGTTCTTTCTTCTTCGCCTGTATGAACGACACCTTGTCTGCCAAAGACATGGTTCTTTCGCTCAAATTGCTTTTGGCATCTTTCTGCCTCTTCTCCTTGGTGCCGGCATGGGTGGTTGCACCATTGGAGGCGGTGTAGAAGGCTTGTTGTGCATCTTGTCGGTGGCGTGCCAAAATCTTGAACGAAGTTTGTCCTGTCCAATAGTGGCCGTCACTCTTGGTGGGGTTGTTCCTCCATCGATCTTGATGGGAGTGGTGGCGGCCTGTCGTCGCCGTCATCATCCATGGCCTCATCGTCGGAACCTGCGGTGCCGCGGTACTTGCACCATGGTGTGGATCGGCTGCCAGCTAGGGTGTCCGACTCCAAGTCCGGGCGGACATGCTCAGGGGCTGCACGGATGAGTACCAGCCAGTAGACGGTGGGCGGATGTTCCGGACCTCGCTGAAACTCAACAAAAACCACTGTCGCTGCTCCCGGTGGATGCGGGGTCCCGTTCCGGCTGCCTCGCGCCAGTAGAAACACTCCTGGCCCACCAACATGCGTGGAGGGTTTCCGCGATGTTGTCGTAGTAGAGCACGTCGTGTTCAAGCTGAGCGAGTCGCTCATGTGCCTCGCCTGGAGAGATCACCAGCTCCACTGCATGTTATGCGGCAAGGCGCATCACCTCATCACTTCCCCACGCTCTGTGGCTGTCCACGAACAGAGTCCTTGGAGGGCCAAACACTCGGATCCAGCCTCTCTCGAGGGCCTGCAGGTTTTCAGAACAGGTCTCACGTCGAATCACTCGAGCGGCAACATAGCGCGTTGCTGCATCCATCATGGTGATCACCGGGATGGTCTTGTCCAGAACCTGCAGCCACACGGTGTCGGAGAGCAACCTTTCGTTGAAGCGGAAGGTGGTGCGCAGGGTTGTCTTATGGAACCTGTACATGGGAGGTGCCAGCTTTCGACACGCGGGGCATTGGTAGTTCTCCGCAGTCTCGACCAATAGCTCCACTCTGCGCCAAGATGACACGTAGGTCTCGATTGTTCGGGCGTCCTAGATTCCTGTGTAGACGAGCAACAATACGCTGAGCCTCTGCTGGTGTTCTACACTCAAGCTTCTGAATACACCCCGTCAGCTTGGTAGATGTAGGCACAGCGGGTGGTGGATCAGGTTGTACAACGGGATGTGCGGAAGTAGACTCTGATTGTGGTGGATCTGGTTGTGCACCGGGACGTGTGGAAGTAGACTCTGATTGTGGTGGATCCGGTTGTGTACCGGGATGTGTGAAAGTAGAATCTGATTGTGGTGGATCTGGTTGTGCACTGGGATGTGCGGAAGTAGAATCTGATTGTGGTGGATCTGGTTTTCTCTTCGATCGGCCCCTTCCGAAGTTGTACTCGGCCTCCATGTCGGCGTTGGTCGGGAGATCGAGGTCAGTCAGGTCTCCCGTGGTCTTGGGCGGATACAAGTCGTCGTCCTGCGGTGGTCCTTCGGACGGCTCGTACTCTTCCATGTCGATGTCCGACGCAGGGAGTGCTTCTTCCGCCGTGGAGTTGTCGTAGATAAAATGGGCGTAATAGGCTCCTTGTAGAGCTTCTGCCAAGAAGCTGCACATCTTGGGTTGATATACTCCAGCCGCCCTCGCCCTGGAACCGATCATTGACACTGATCCCATCAGGGTCTGGTGTCGATGAGTGCCGTCGCACCTGTAGACGCCGAGGGTCTCCGTCAGCAGCTGGTGATTCACAACCAGCTTCGTCGTCTTCTTGATCGGGATCATGTTGCCCTGGGCGTCAGGTAGAGCTGCTCCCAGGGCACATTGGTCAACAATGACCTCCAGCCCAAGATCGTATAGTGCCGGTGTGCTCCAGGCCTTGGAGTTCTGCGGGTGTTCGATGACCGCAATACCCAACTGAGCCATCCTCAAGAAGACCCGCCTCACGAAGAGGAGGTGGGTATGGTGCTCGTAGTCCCGCGTCGCCTGGAGCACATCGAGGTCCTCCTGGGTTCTCTTGGAGAGGTTCTGCAGGGGGGACCACTTAATGCACGGTGGCGCCAGCCACACGATATGTGGCATCTCCTTCTCCAGAAGCTCGAAGAACGCACGCCTCTGGCTGGCGTCCTCAAAATTCCACTCGGACAGGTCGAAGGTTCGGGTTTGGAACCCGTACTGCCTCATGGCAGCCGCCAGGTTCCCAGAGCCGCTGTAGACCTCCCAGAACAACGCGCAGCTTACATCCGATGCGCGGTAAGCTCCTTAATTCGCGCTGTCTGTCCAGGTTGTTCTTGGAGCGGTTAATTCGAAGATGATGCTCTTCCAGAGCGTAGGGGGCACAGGGCACTCGACGGCTGGGGTCAGGTTGGCATTCTCCCTGATGTCCTGAGCCTGGTCGTCCAGGAGGTTGATCGCGGGCTCGTCCTCCTCAACTCCGAGTACGGACACCACGTCGGTGTCATAGTTCACCTTTACCTTGAGGGGCCTTGAGGAGGGGTCGGCCAATAAGGATGGGCATTGTCCCTTCCACCAGGAAGCACCGGATGCGACCCTTGGTTCCCCCAATCCACACAGGTAGGTGAACACTCCAGTCGGCCAGACTTCGGTGGTCTCCACCGAAGAGGAAACTCTTATTTGTCTGGGTGAACGCCAGGGTGTCCGGGTCCAAGCCTCTGGAGACGTACTCGGTGATGACCTCCATGACAAAGTCGTGCCCGCCAACCATGGAGGACACGCCTCCATCTTGCAGGCCCACGCACCCGCCAAAGCGTCGGGGAGCCAATGCCGAGCTTGACCCCATAGCCATCATGGCTGTCCCTTGCTTTGGTCTCTTGTTCGGGGAGCAGGGTGCCGATCCAGGCTGCGATGCTGGGGGCTTCGGGCACGGAGAGGCCCAAATGTCCGACTTGTCCACAACGAAGGCAACGCGTAAAGTCTGCTCGTGCTGCTCCCTTAGACAAAGGCACTTGTCCACGTGGCCCCTCCTGTCTTGCCTTTGGCACTGCCCGTGGGCTTTCCTTTTCCGCAGGTCGCAACCACCGGCAGTTGTGGCCGGGCTGGGTCCACCATTGCCACCACCGGGTAGTATCCACGCCCAGCCTTGACTTGTGAACCTCCGTCTGGCGTCCAGGTAGGCCGCGCAGGCTTCTTCCACTACCTCGTCGCCTTCTTCCTCGTCTGCCAGGAAGTTGCCGTCGTACGGGTCGATATCGGTGCGGTCCTAATCCTCCTCATCGTAGGGGTCCGCCTCCTCCTCATAGTACTGGGCCTCCGGGGGGTCGTCGTGGTACTCCGGCTCGTAGTACTGAGGTCCTCGTCCTCAGCGGCATACGCTGAGGCGTGGCACCGATGAGCGGGAACTCCCCGCCCTTTTCCACTAGGCCGTGGCTCTGTACGGCTCGTTCGGTAGTCCTGGCCGAACAGGTAGAACAACGCCTGCTCGACCGTGTTCTTCTTGTTGTCGACTTGGCTCATCACAAGTTGCCTCTGCTCAGCTGTGAGGGCTGCCCTCCTCAACAGCAGCCATCCTCCAACAGGATCCGGGAGCTTGACGTCGTGGCGCTCCAGCTCCCGTGCGGCTTCCCTGTGCTCGGAGCAGTACTGGATGAGGGTCTGGCCGTATGGCCGGTCGGCGCCATAGAAGAAGCGCTCAAAAGCCTTCGGCATCTCGACCCTGCTGTCATACTGGTACACCCTGTCCAGCTCCTGCAACACAATGTTGAAGCCATTGTCATCGTCGGGGGCCGTCTCCGCCAGGTGCTCTACTTGCTTCCAAACCGGTCCGTTGAGCGACGTCAGGAGGTTGATCGTGGCCTCGGTCTTCTTGCTTGCAAGCAAGGCTCATCTTCTTGTAGTACAGCGCCACTCGTTTTCTGTACTCCTTGTATGAGCTGGGCTGGCCGTCGAAGAGGGGTACGTATGTAGTTGTCCCTCACCACATCCGGGTTCGACGTAGAAGAGGCCGACGTCGCGGGGGCATCCTTGCCCTTTCCAGAGCCACCCATGGCTCTTGTAGGCTCAGAGCCCCTGGAGCGGAAAACCGCTCTGCTGCCAACTTGAAGAACACCAGAGGGTTCTACTCACGGCAAACGAAGTCCGCAAGAGGTCACACACACAAGAAGGGCTTTTTGCTGCCCTTCGGCGTAGCTACTGCTCTAAGCTCGAGAGCCCTCCCTTGAGGATGTAAGAGCCGCGGTGCAGGCTTGCGCTGAGCAGAAACCAGGTTGCCACATGTTTGTGGAGCGAACATCACAACACCTGTTTTTGGATTTAGGGTGCAGGCAGAACGCGAGCTGATCTCATCATCGAATAGCGATTTCCAGCTTCCTATCCTCTTTTTCGGCAAACAACGTGGGGTAACATTATCGGGTTTTTTCGAGGTAAGCGAACATGGTTGTCGTGCTCGCAAAGCTCTTGCCGAGTCCGCCTGGCCAACTGTATTAAGAAGCGCTGGTGAACCTCTCGCCAAGGTGCAGGTGCAAAGCTTGTACTGTTATCGGTGGAAGCCGTCCTCCCACCCCAGTGCCTTGATGAAACTTGAAAGCGCCCGAAGTCGCTGTAACCACGGCCGCACTATTCGACTCCTCGCATCTCTGTTGGTGCGAGTATGAACAAGGATTTTGGTGCTCCCGTCCCACTGCCGGCACATATTTTGGGAGCGTATGTCTTCCAGCCAGTGTCCGGTTTGTGTGCAGCTGCCGAAATCGGACTGCGGCCGATTGTCATGCAGATTTTGGCTACGACTCGTGTTCTCGCCCCCACAAACGCTGCCGGAACGGTCCCGTGTGCCTCCGCCTCCGGGAAGTCGTGCTTCGGCCCCAGTGACGTGGGTGCCAAGAAAAACATAGGAAAACCATATGAGGTGTGCTCCCGCTACATCATATGGTCCACCTTTCGCACTCATGGGATGATCTTGAGGGCTTCAGGGTTACTGCTGCATGATTCTTGGGTGTGTGTTGTTGCTGTTTGGGATTACGCTGGCATGTCGTTGTGTTTCATTTTCGAACAAATCCGATCGCGAACCGACATCACGACTAATTTGCATGTCAAAGGTTCCTATAAGTTGCGGCTGAAACCGTACTTACACAGCTTCTACATTCTACAGTCCGAAGTCCAGAACCCTCTAAGCAACGCCAAGAGTCTTCTTCTTCTGTGTGTCCGTGACAGCGGTGAAATGAGCACGCGGTTGAGGCAGCGTGCCATTGGGAAATGCTTGGACCCATTGTAGCGGATCCTGGAGTCAGGCTGTCGGGTTTGCTGGGTTGCTGGCTGCGTGGCTGGGTGGCTGGGTGGCTGGGCTAAAGGTTTAAATGTCACTATAACCCATCTAGCAATCTCTTTATCTACCTGCATGCCTAGATATCTATCTATCTGTATATCTATATCTGTTTACCTATCTATCTACCTATGCATCTGCCTATGTATGCATTTCTCCTGTCTGCCTGTCTGTCTGCCTGCCTGGTGACCTGTCTATCTACCTGTCTGTCTAGCTGTCCATCGATCTACCTGTCAGTCTGTCTGTCAGTCGACCTGTCCATTTGAATATCTAATCACATGATATATATATATATATGTACATACATGCACGCATGTATATAGATAGGTAGACAGATAGATAGATAGAAAGAAAGATAGATGGATAGACAGATAGACAAGTCGATAGAGAGATAGAGAGAAAGAGAGACGGATAGATAGAAAGATAGATAGGTAACCGGTAGGTAGATAGATGGATAGGCAGATCGATAGATGGATAGATAGATAGATAGATACAGAAATAGAGGGATGGATGGATCGTTACGTAGACAATTCTAGGTAGGTAGGTAGGTAGGAAGGTAGATAGGTAGGTCGGTCGGTAGGTAGGTAGGTAAGTAGATAAATATGTGGGTGGGTGGGTGGGTGGGTGGGTGGGTGGGTGGGTGGGTGGTTGGGCAGGTAGGTAGGTAGGTAGGTAGGTCGGTCGGTCGGTCGGTTGGCAGGTAGAGGTAGGCAGGTAGGTCGGTAGGTAAGCAAGCAGATACGAAGGTAGACAGGTAGGTAGATAGACACATCAATCGACGGATAAATAGATGTTCTCAGGTTCATAGAAGACTAACTGCTCATGGACTTTGCAGGTTTTAACCTTATCTACCCCTGCGATCTACCCATTAGATTTCTCGCTGCACTTTCCAAGCGGTTGAGATTCGCCGACCAAGAACCATATAAACTGAAAGCCGGAAAACGCTTCCAACAGACAGCCTGTTCAGACGTCTTGCAGACCACCAGTCCAACTTCAAACACTTGTGAAATGGAAAACTTTTCCGGGACGGGTCAAAATTACCGGACTATACATACCTTGCGTGCAGCAATGCAAAAAAATCCCGAAGAGCGCTATCGCATGCAACACAAAACCACATCCAAGCGAACATGGCAGGCAATTGAAAGGGACAGAAACAAAGTTTTGAGGACAGTACAGCCGCACATATATGCATGTATACACATCTTACAGTAAGCATTGGTTTATGAGGTTTCGGATCATAGAAAGCAAGGCACCTCTTCAGTTGCTGAAGCTTTGAATGGGGTTGGGGCTTTGGGGGAGGCAGGTTTCCATCCAAAGGAGCTCAACATCTTTTGCGGCTAATGTGGAAGCCTGAAAAAATAGATAAGGTTTTTGGGGTATATTAAAAAAAACTCTATAGTAATAGTAACTGTGGAAGGGTGTGGGTGGTCTAGGATTGCAGGTTTTGGGATAAATGGGCACGTCAATAGCAGCGTTTCCTGTCCTGAGTGGTGTCCAGGTAGAAGAGGTCATTGAGCCAGCCTGCGAAAAGGTCAAGTCTAAACCCTAAACCCCAAACATGGGGATGGTGGCTTCGGCAATGCTTCAGCCACCGCGAGCTCCCTAATGTGCCAGAGTGTTATGCTCGATGAAGGATGGCCCAGACTCTAGTTGACTCAAAGCCACGAGGTGTTCGGACCCCAATCCTGTCAATGTAGGGACGTTGAGAACTAGAATAATTAGAATTCGGATCGGCTGTCTGGGTGTGCTACAACAGAAGTATGCACAAGTACAATACGGAAGGACTCTAGGGAATAATACTGGTAGTTATTTAGGCCCGAACCTCTAAACCCTAAATAGCCAACAAACCCGAGGATTACTGGGTAGTTCTAAACTTACAAGTTGATGGCTTTTGAGGCTTATGTACTTCGTCCTAAACTTTGCTTGTTGTGGCCTTGCCTTCCTAACCCATCACTTCTGCTCTATGTTTCTTTCGAGGGGGGAAAGAACCTCAAGCCGCAAATGCTGAAGCACGCCAGAACCGGAAACAATTAAAACCCCCAAAACCCTAAACCCTACACTGTGAAAAACTCTAAACCCGAAACCGTAAACCCAGAAAAAAACATTCAAACTCCAAACCCTACAAACCCTAATCTGTCCTGGCACGAAAGTTCTGTTGATGACAAACGATCGTTTGTCGCCGCCAAAGATCCAGAATCGGTCCTCGTCTCTCGGGCATGTAATCCCAAACTCCCGCCACCATGTAGAAAGTAGATGACTTGGTCGGCTTCCTACACTGTCCGGCAAACCATGCTGACGAAGTCGCAATCCTGAAAACGGGGTACGTTACGTACATGGATCGCCCTAACTACCCCTGTGTAAGGTCTCAACCAATAGATCCCCCTTGCGGCGAGAACAGACCCGTGGGATGGCTCGTGTTCTGCCAAATGCAGTCCAGGTTCGCTTTGGTTAGGTTCAGGATCCATGAAGTCTAGAGTAAGGCTTCTAGGGCTCGTGGGGTCTGTGGCTTCGTGCTTGTAGGTTTAAGCTTGATTATCATTTACGGCTATATAAAAGATTTAAGGCCCAGGGATTACTTAATGGGTGGGGTGGGGTTCGGGCCGAGCAATAGCGACCCGAAAGTCCACCACCAAAACCCTGCAAAAAAGGGCTCCTTTTATGATTTTTGTATACGATTCCGTAAACTCCGTAAACGGTTGATTTTGGGGGCTCAGGCAGGGTTGAGAGCAACAAATCTAGCAGCTAACACCCAAGCCATGAACCTAGCCTAGACCTCACAATTCATCGCGCTGGCCAAACTTACCAAACGAAGACTCCATTCTAGAGAGATCCACAGTATGATTTCAGGTCCATTGCTCAATCTAGGGGCATGGTCCTCTCTGGTCATCCCACGCCCTAAACCCTAAGCCCTAATGACCGTGACTGCCGAAGATAAAGGTGGCCCTGTCGTCCCCCTTATCAGGGTCCTTGTATGTGGACCCAACACAGGATCCTTGTGTTTGGGTGCTTCCTGGGGTCCTAAACGAACCCTAAACCGCTCAACTGGATCCAGGCGGCCTTATAATCCATGACTGCGACATGTGACTGCCGACCTTGGTCAGAAGTCAGGGTCGGCTCTGGAGTCCCTTTTGTTTGCTTAGTTTCGGGTTTAGGGTTTAGGGTTCACGGGTTTCGGATTTTACGGGCTTCGGGGGTGTTGAGGTCATAGGGGTTTAGACGTTTAGGGTATAGAGCTTGAAAAGGTCTTATGCGGGCTCCATATGCTCCATAAGGGTCCGAAATTATTTGAGGATTTTTTGTTTTTGTTGGGGGAATCTTTTTTGTTTTCGTGCTTTTGCTTGGTCTGAGGGGACAGGAGGGGAGGGAGGGAGGGAGGGCGGTAGGGAGGGAGAG